ACCCAGGTGCCCCAGTTGGCTGCTTTTTAAAATAAAAAAAGTTTACAAACATCTTTCCTGGACTAGTGATCACCTAAGTGTGGCTCTTAAACTATGGTGAAGGTGTTGCTGCTGGCTACAGAGCTGCACGGGAGAGGAACTTGGAAGAGGGAGCATCCTAGTGGGAATGAAAGTAGGGAAGACTCGTCATCTGAGAGAAGAGGAAGATTTATTTCCTCACACCCTCCAGTTCCCTCCTGACTAACTTCTAGCCCTTTTTACTACTGTCTGCCTACAGTCCCTCCACAGTCTTGGGCATTAGAAAACATGACATTTTAAAAAATCAGCTTTATGAGGTATAATTTACATATAACAAAACTCACCAATTTGAAGTGTACAATACAGTAAATTTTCACACACGTACACAGTCATGTAACCACCACCATAATCCCAACATAAAACATTTCCTTCACTCAGAAACTTTCTTTGTGCCCCTTTGCAGTCAATCTCTTCCCCCTTGTCTGGCTCCTGGCCTCTCCTGATCTGGTATTTGTCACTATAGTTATGTCTTTCTAGAATTTCGTATAAATACAATCACAGTTTGTAGTAGTTTGTGTCTGCCTCTTTTCACTTAATACAGTGCTTCTGTGATCATCCATGTGGCTCCCTCTATCAGTAATTCATTCCTTTTCAATGTGAACTAGTATATTTCACTGCATAGGCAGACTACAATTTGTCCTTTCACAAGTTGGTAGCCATTTAGGTTGTTTGCAGGTTTATGCTTTAACAAATAGAGCTGCTTATGAATATTTGTGTATAGGTCTTTGTGGACATATGTTTTTACTTCTCTTGGGTAAATACTTAGGAGTGGGATTGGTGGATTGTATGGTAATGTGTATTTAACTTTTTAAATAACTGCCAAACTGTTTTCCAAAGAGGCTGTACCATTTTTCATTTTTCACCAGCAATATACAAGGGTTTCATTTTCTCAACATCCTCCTCAACACCTGGTATCGTCATACTTTTTATTATCTGGCTCATCCTTCTCAGATTTTACATCTGGTTCTGGTTTTAACTTGCATTTCCCTAACAACTGATGATATTGAGAATCTTCTCATATTTGTAACACCATTGTACATCTTAGCTAGTGACATGTCTACTTAAATCTTCTACCTGTTTTAAAAACTGGCGTGTTCTTCTTGTAATTATTGAGTTGTAGTGATTTTTTTATATATCCTGGGTACAAGTCTTTTATCAAATATATGTTTTGCAAATAACTTTTTTTCTAGTCAGTGGCTTCCATTTTATTTTCTCTTACGTCCATGTGTGTGGTGTATATTGGATATTTTTCTTGTAACATTTTTGTCTGGTTTTGGTAGCAATATAATACTAAACTCAAAAAATGATTTGAAGGCTCCTGGGTGGCTCAGTGGGTTAAATATTCAACTCTAGATTTCAGCTCAGGTCATGATCTCACGGTTCGTGGGTTCGAGCCCTGCCTCGGTCTCTGCACTGACAGCAAGGAGCCTGCTTGGGATTTTCTCTCTTTCCCTTTCTCTCTGCCCCTTCCCAATGAGTGCGCATGCTCTCACTCTCCCTCTTGATAAATAAATAAACTAAAAAAAAATGATTTGAGAAGTGTTCCCTACTGTTCAGTTTTCTGGAAGCAGTTTTATAAAATTGTATTTTTTTTCCCCTTGGCAAAAATTAAGCCATCTGGGGCTGGATTTTTCTGCAAGGGAAAGGTCTTTAATTACAAATCCAATTTCTTTGGTAGATACAGGGTTTTTCAGGTTTTTTATTCTTTTATGAACTTTGATAGGTTACATCTTACAAGGATTTGTCCATTTCATTCAACTTACCAACTTCCTTTCCATGAAGTTCTTTCATAATACTCATTATTCCCACGTAGAGTCTGTAGTGATGTCCCCTCTCTTATTCCTGCTATTGGTAACTGGTGTCCTTTTCTTTTTCCTGGTACAATCTGGTTAGCGTTTTATCTGTTTTATTAATATTTCAAAGAGCCAAGTTTTGGTTGCATTGATTTTTCTCCGTTTTTGTTTGTTTTCCATTTTATTGATTTCTACTCTTATCCTTATCTCCTTCCACTTATTTTGGGTTTCTCTTTTCTTCCTTATCTAGTTTCTCCCTCTAAGCACTGCTTTAGCAGCATCTCACAAATTTTGATTTTGATTTTGATTTACCAAATTTCGTCATGTCATTTTCACTCAGTTCACAATATTTCATAATTTTCCTTGTGATTTCTTTTTTACTCATGTTGTTTAATTTACAAACATTTGGGAATTTTCTCAATTACTGATTTATAGTTTAATTCCATTGTGGTCAGAAAATATATTTTGTATGATTCTAATTTTTATAAATTTATTGATACTTGTTTTAAGGCCCAGATTATTGTTCCATATGCATTTGGAAATAACATGTGTCCTGCTGTTGTTGGATAGTGTGTTCTATAAATGTCAATTTAGTCAAGTTGGTTGATAGCATTTTTCAAAACCTTTCTATCTTTATTTATTGTTTTCTACTTCTACCAGTTCCTACAAGAGAAATGTTGAAATCTCTAACTATAATTGTAGATTTGTCCATTTCTCCTTTCACTTCTATTTTTTTGCTTCATATATTTTGAAACTCTGTCATTAGATGCATGTACATCTAGGATTATATCCCCCTTTATTAATTGTCACCTTTATCGTTATGGAATGTCCCTCCCTTTTTATCTTTGCTAATATTTCTTTTTTTATGTTTGTTTTTGAGGGAGAATGAACAGAGTGGAGGAGAGGTAGAGAGAGAGGGAGACAGAGGATCTAAAGCAGGCTTTGTGCTGACAGCAGAGAGCCCAGTGTGGGGCTGGAACTCACGAACCACAAGATCATGACCTGAGCCAAAGTCGGATGCTTAACCGTCTGAGCCACGCAGGTGGCCCACTAATATTTCTTATTCTAAACTCTGATATTAATATAGCCACTCCAACTTTCTTTTTGATTAGTATTAGCATGGTTTACCTCTTTCTATCCTTTTACTTTTAACCTATGTGTTTTTTTTTTATTTAAAGCATGTTTTTTTTTTAAACATTTATTTATTTTTGAGAGAGAGACAGAATGTGAGCAGGGGAGGGGCAGAGAGAGAGAGAGAGACACACACAGAATCCAAAGCAGGCTTCAGGCTCTGAGCCGACAGCTCAGAGCCCAACATGGGGCTCAAACTCACCAACTGTGAGATCATGACCTGAGCCGAAGTCGAACACTCAACCTACTGAGACACCCAGGCGCCCCAATTTCCTTCCTTTTTTTTGAGTTTATTTTGAGAGAGAGAGAGAGAGAGAGGACGTGTGCACGAGCAGGGGAGGGGCAGAGAGAGAGGGAGAGCAAGAGAATCCCAAGCAGGCTCCGCACTGCCAGCAAGGAGCCGGATGCAGGGCTGAACTCATGAATGGTGAGATCATGACCTGAGCCCAAATCAAGGGTCCAACACCTAACCAACTGAGCCACCCCAGTGCCCCTAAAGTGTGTTTCCTATAGTTAGCACATAATTGAGTCTTAGGGTTTTCTTAATTGAACCTTATAATCTCTATCTTTTAATTGGCTTGTTTGGGTCATTTATATGTAATCTAATTATCAGTATGATTGGGTTTAAAAGAAAGAAGGAGAAAGGGGAAAAAAAAGAAAGGACCTCAGATTGGGAATCAGGAAATCAGAGTAAAGTCCTGACTCTTACTTCTCAGCTCTGTAACTTTAGGTAAATCTCTTAAGTCCTCTGAGCCTTAGCTGGCTCATACATGAATAAGTTGTTTATAAATTACAACATGCTCTGAAATCATAAGGGATTAAAGGGCTATCCAGTTCAAGATGTATAGATAGAAAGGTATCCGTAAACCAGGGTATGAGTGCCTCAAAGAACTAGATCTCATTCATTTATGTATTTCTAGTATCTAGGACCAGGCTTGGCATGTAGAATGTTACCAATAGTGTTTGTTGAGTGAAAGAGGCAATAAAAGAATTAACTTTAAATATATGAATGAATGATGGTATATGAAAGATGGGTGTCAGGTGACAAGTTATTAAGTGGCCATGGCACTGCTAAGAACTGAACTTACAATATTTAATTCCTTATCTGTTAAATGGGGATAATTAAAAAAAATTTTTTAATGGTTATTTTTTGAGAGAGAGAGAGAGAGAGAGAGAGAAAGAGTGTGAGCAAGGGAGGGACAGAGAGAAAGGGAGACACAGAATCTGAAGCAGGCTCCAGGCTCTGAGCTGTCAGCAGAGAGTTTGACACAGGGCTTGAACTCATGAACCATGAGATCATGACCTGAGCCAAAGTCGGATGCTCAACCAACTGAGCCACCCAAGCGCCCCTAAATGGGAATACTTTTAAATAGCATGGAAGAATAATTTGCAGTATACGTACCTGTTCTTACATATGCGTTCATTCAGCAAGTGTTTATTAAGTGCCTACTGTGTGCCAGGCTTGGTTCTAGGTCCTGGGCATATAGCAATGTCCATTTTAAACATTTGTTTTTAAAAGCCATCTTGCAATAATGGTCACCTTCGGTAAGTAAAAGTGCAGATTGACCCTTGACCCCTGGTGCAAATGCAAACGTATTATCGTTAGTTATTGACTGGCTTTAATTTTTAAAAACTTCTCTTTGGGAAAAGAACATTTTCTAATTGCTTTTTCTTATTTTTAGCCATTAATATTTAGTTTGGTAGAAGAACATTTAATTACTTAAAGCAACAGGTCAACTTAATGTATATTAGCGATGGATAAAAAGCTAGATAGCCAAGCAGATAGATGACAAGGAGCCATTCTTCTAATCTAACTGATGATGTCACCGGAGAAAAGGTCAGTTGGAACCTGATGTCTGGCAGTTACAGGGAGCTGTGGCTAGGCAGGGTACTCAGGAACTGCCCTGGAGCCCTTAACCCCAAAGCAGCCAGTATCACGTGTCCAGGTCTGTGTACCAGAGACACAGGACATCTTTGCGACTGACAGGGTGATCCAAAATGGAGAAAAACAGGCCCCTACAGTTGATGACCCCTGCGTCAGTCAAAGCCATCATCTCAAGGATTGAGGCTGCCCAGCTAACACGGGCTCAGGAGGTAACACCTGAGATAAGGGGGTCACCCTTCTATTGGGATCTGATGTGGAGACTGAGAACTGATCCCAGATTGGGACAAGATTCCAGCTCTGGGCCCTCAGGGTTCCTGGCATCTTCAACAGGCTGGATTTGCAAACAGATTAATTCAAAATTCCAACTCTTTGACTTGGCCTCTGCAGGGCCAGCTGGAATCGAACCAGCCCTCTGAGGCAGGGCTGGGCACAGGAAGGGAACAGCCCATAAGGAAGCCCTAGGATGGTCCTACCACTATGTGGTAGGTCTTAGCAGGGCAAGAGGAAGGGCCCAGAGTTCTTGATTGAGGTCTGTTCAGGGCAACCTGTCAGAATCCTTCAAGCTAAGCCCTAGAAGCTTATAGAGAAATAGCCAAAGGCTGAAATCACCCTGCCCATGAGCCTCTAGTACCTTTGATCCTAAAGGTTTCTTAGGGCCTCATTTTTCCAGTCTGTTGCCTCTGGATCCTTGTGAGATGTTCAGAAGTCCCTAGAAAATTTTGAAATTCTGAAGGAATTGTTTGCCCTGGATATTTAGTATTCTTTCCCTTCCTGACTTGGTCTTAATCATCAAAGTGACATTAATAAGAGCTAACACTTATTTTATGTGCCAGGCACTGTCTTAAGTGCTTTACAAATATTAGTTCATTTAATCTTTAGAAGAAACTCTGTGACATTGATATATAATGATCCCCACTTTAGAAGTAAGAACGCTAGAGCCCCAATAGGTGAACTGACTTGTCTGAGATCACACTACCAGAACCTGGTATCTGGCTTTAGAGTTCACACCCCTAAACACTAAAATCTGCTGCCTCCCATATAGGATATTTCTTCCCAGCTCTCAGACATCTTGGACAACGTCAACTGTGTCATCAACAGCTTCCAGGAAGAATTAGGATATGATTTAAAAGAAAAGGCAAAACCTGACCAGATGGAGCAAAAGGGCAAGAACAGATTCATCTTACTGGAGAAAATTGCCTCCTTCTCTGAAGATGCTAATACTAAAGAGAAGCACTTGTATGAAATTCTCCGCTGGCTGGGTGACTGGGGTGAGTTTGCAGACTGGCTGCCTGACGGCGGGCCGCTTCCCCACTGACTTGGTCCCACATTGGCTCTTGGCTCCTCCTTTCCCCACCCCAGGTCAACTCTCACTGGGAGGAAAAAGCAGGGCAGTTGGTGGGTTGCCAAGGGAGCAAAAGACACACTCCAGTGAGATATTCCCTTGCTTCTGTCACGGCAATCATCTCCACTCACCAGAGGGGCAAACATGTAATAGTCCAAAACCTAGTAGATTGTGACATTAGCTGCATGTGTGATGAAGCCTGTCATAGGTCCATTCTGACATCTCATCTATCAGCAGGGTGGAAACTAAATTCAAATCCATGCTAGCTATATTTTTAAATTTTCCATACTTATTGAGATGTAATTGACAAATAACATTGTGTAACTTTAGAGTGTACAATGTGATGATTTGATGCATGTATATGTTATGAAATGATTATCACAATAAGGTTAATTAACACATCTGTCACCTTACAAGTTACCCCCCCTCTTTTTTTTTCTGGTGAAGACATTTAAGATCTACTCTCTTAGCAAATTCCAAGTATACAATACAGTAGTGTTAGTATAGACACCACATTGTGTATTAGATCCCCAGAACATTTTAATTTTATAACTGAAACTTTGTACCCTTTGGCCAATAGCTCCCCATTTCCCCTACCCCCCCCCCCCCCCCAGCCCTTGGCAACCACTGTACTCTCTGTTTCTGTGAATTCAACTTTGTGTGTGTGTGTGTGTGTGTGTGTGTGTGTGTGTGTGTGTGTGTGTCTGTCTGTGTGTTCAGCTTTTTAGATTCCACATATAAGTGAGATCATACAGTGTTTGTTTTTCTGCATCTGACTTATTCCACTTGGCATAATACCCTCAAGGTATAACCCCTTGGTCACAAATGGCAGGATTTCCTTCTTTATTATGATTTACTAATATTTCATTGTATATACCACATTTTCTTTAACCATTCCTCCACTGACTGACACTTAGCGTGTTTCCACATCTTGGCTTTTGTGAATGATGCTCCAATGAACATGGCCATGTAGATATCTCTTGGAGACAGTGATTCTATTCCCTTTGGATATATACCCAGAAGTGGGACTGCTGTATCATATCACAATTGTATTTTTAATTTTTAGAAGAACCTTCATACTGTTTTCCAAAATGGTTGTACCAATTTATATTCCCACCAGAAGTGCACAGGGGTCCCCTTTACTCCGTGTTCTCATCAATACTTTTTATCTCTTGTCTTTTTCATAATAGCCATCCTATCAGGAATAAGGTAATATCTCATTGTGGTTTTAATTTGTGTTTCCCTGACAATTAGTGATGTTGATCTCCATTACCTGTTGGCTATTTGTACGTCTTCTTTAAAAAACAGATCCTTTGTCTTTCTTTCTTTTTTTTTTTTTGCACATACGTATTTAATCACAGTGTTGAAAGGAATTGTAAATATAATCTGGCTTAACATCCTTAATATTACAAATGAGAAAATTAAAAATAACAAAATAAGTGCTTCCAAATTGGTGTCATTTTAAATTCATCATCTCTAATGTTAGTGTGCCCTCAAAACATCTCAGGATATTTGTTTTAGTATTTGTCTGGTGCTGTCGGCCCCTGCCTCCTGCTCTCACTCTCTTCAGTGCCACTGACCGTTGTCACATTGACTGAACTTCCTTTCCAACTTCAGGAGACACCACACCCTTGTGGTTAAAATTACTGGCTATGGAGGAGAGGTGTCTGTCTCCACCATTTAGTAGATGCGTAAACTCAGGCAAATCACTTAATTTTTCTGGGCTGTCCTTTCCTCATCACTGGGGAGTTGGTCCTGCCCCAGCCAGGCCCACACTGACAGGTGTTTGGAAAAGTGCAGCGACCATGGACACATTTATCAGCACAGTGGGGGACACACATTTGCCTGCTTTCCTAAACTCCAGGGCGATGCTGAGATTTGCACCTATACATAGGTTTCTCCCCAGGTCGATAGGCTGTCTGATAACTGATTCTGTGCCGTGTACATTTAAACCAGTTCAAAATGTATCATAGCTAGCACAGTAAATTTGATCAAAGGGATGTGGCTATGACTCTTGCACAGTTACAACTAGCTACAAAGTAGCTACAATTAGACAGTTAAATTGCTGTCACTTGTCATGGGACCACTTTCTGGAAGCTGTGTACTTGCATCAAGAAGGAAAAGATCTCTGAGACCAGGCCAGCTTCCTTTGGTCTTTATCACATCTTGTGTGGCCTTTGCCCATTAAAAAAAAATTTTTTTTAACGTTTATTTATTTTTGAGACAGAGAGAGACAGAGCATGAACGGGGGAGGGACAGAGAGAGAGGGAGACACAGAATCGGAAGCAGGCTCCAGGCTCTGAGCCATTAGCCCAGAGCCTGACGCGGGGCTCGAACTCACGGACCGCAAAATCGTGACCTGAGCTGAAGTCGGACACTTAACGACTGAGCCACCCAGGTGCCCCTGCCCATTTTTTAAATTGGATTATTTGTTTTGTTTTGTTTCATTTGCTATTGAGTTGTATGAACTTCTTATTTTGGATATTAACCCTTTATCAGGTATACAGTTTGCAAATATTTTCTCCCATTCTGTAGATTGCCTTTTCATTTTATTGATCCTTTCTTTTACTGTGCAGAAACTATTTAGTTTGATATAGTCCCACTGGTTCATGTTTGCTTCTGTTACCTTTGCTTTTAGTGTCATACCCAAAAAATCATTGCCAAGACCAATGTCAAGAAGCTTTTTCCCTATGTCTTCTCCTAGGAGTTTTATGGTTTCAGGTCTTACATTTAAGTCTTTAATCCATTTTGAGTTAATTTTTGTGAGTGGTGTGAGATAGGGGTCCTATTTCATTCTTTTGCATTTGTATGTCCAGGTTGACCAACATCACTGTGAAGAGCCATCCTTTACCCACTGTGTATTCTTGGCTCCCTTGTCAAATACTAATTGTCCATATATGCATAGGTTTATTTCTGGGTTCTCGATTCTGCTCCATTTGTCTATGTATCTGTTTTTATGCCGATATCATATTGTTTTGATTATTATAGCTATGTAATATAGTTTGAAATTGGGTAGTATGATGCCTCCAGCTTTGTTCTTTGTCTCAAGATTGCTCTGGCTATTTGGGGCCTTTTGTGGTTCTATATGAATTTTAGGATTTTTTTTTCTGTTGTTTTTTTTTTTTTTTTTTTTTTTTTTTTTTTCTGTGAAAAATGCCATTGGGATTTTGATAGAGATTTCATTGAATCTGTACATGGCTCTAAATGGTAGTATGGACATTTTAAACAATATTGATTCTTCCAGTCCATGAAGGTGGAATATCTTTCCATTTATATGTGTCTTCAGTTTCTTCCATCAATGTCTTATAGCTTCCAGTGTAGAGATCCTTCCCTGGTTAAATTTATTGCTAAGTATATTATTGTTTTTGATGCTGTTGTAAATGGGACTGTTTTCTTTCTTTTTCAGATAGTTTATTGTTAGTTTATAGAAATGCAACTGATTTTTGTATGTTGATTTTGTATCCTGCAACTTTACTGAATTTGTTTATTAGCTCTAAAAGTTTTTTGATGGACCACACCTGGTGTTTTATAGAAGAATCCATGGGTGATATTCATAGTACTTAATGACCCTTACTGCATGGGCCAAACAGCCCTGATACCAGCTGTAAACAACTGGTATAGCCATTTGAGTGTGGACCAACTATACCCAGTCCTGGACCAGGTGCTGCCCCTGTTAACATCACTGTTGCGCCATCGTGAGACCTTAGGCTGCTATGGGGTTGGGTGGATGCCGCAGTGTTGGAGTGAGATGGTATAGGATGTGCCCTACCCCCTTCACCCTGCCCTGCCTCCAAGGAGCTCATAGTTCTATGATCCTTCAGCTGCCCCCAAGAACTAAGTAGGCTTTTCACTCCAGTTAATTCATTTAATTGTCCAGATACCGAACTAGGCAATGGGGATAGAGCAATAACAAGGCAGACACATCCCTAGCCTTATAGTTAAACAACAATACTGTTTAATGTCTATTGTACGTTTTCGACACAGCAGGCTTCACGTTAATCATTTCACATGCATTATCTCATTTAATCCCTACGCAACCCTTTTACAGGCATGGATGCTGAGGCTCAGAGAAGTAAGTGATTTACCCAACATCATACAGTTATTAAGAGGTGAAACTAATCCAACCTCAAAGCCTCCTGCTGGAACCCCTGTGCTATAGGACTACTTGGAGCTCCCTAGAGGACAGATTGCACTCAGTCTGCATCTCCCACTCCCTCTCTAGGTGACAGTCTGACCTATGAGCTCAGGAACAGGAAGTGTAAGGAGGAAGAGGAAGCCCTGGATGAATGGATTGAGGTGATGGAGAAGGTATTACCTCTCTCTCTCATTGCCACCAAAGGAGGCATCGAATCTCTCACTTCCCTTTGTTCCACTCTCATTGAAGGACAAAAGCAAAGGACACAAAGTAGGTTCCAGGAACACCTGGGAGGGGGGGTTGAATGGGGTGGATACCATCTCAGGAAAAGAGGTCACATGCCAGCACCTGTGGGGTCTTTCTGACTCTCCTCCATAACAAAAGCCTTATCTGAGATGGAGAGGCAATAGTGAGGGGTTGGGGTGTTTAACCCAAGCTGAGCACTGAGCAGTTCTAAGCAATCCCTTGGGGCTAGAGGGAGGGGTAATGGGGAGACAGGTCCCTGTTGGTACTCTCTGGAGCTATAGCCTCATGCAGGTCCTGAGAATCAAGGCTAGTAGGCCAAAAAGGCTGGAATTTGTAGCTACAGCCCAAAGAACATCTTTTCCTTACTCCAAATCCAGCTGGAGAGCCTAGAAGTCTGGCGAGACTCAGCCAGATGCCCTTCCAGGATCTTCTTAATTGTGGCTGCTCCAGGAATGGTCAGTCAACAACATAGTTCAACCTTGAAATTTTACTCCTGTCAACACTAGAAGGAACCTGAGATTATCTAACTCCTCCTACGCTTTGTAGATGAGAACATTAAATCTCAGAGAAGAGAAAGGACTACAAAACAAAACAAAACAAAGCAAAAATCTGTGGCAAAACCAGACCCCACGCTTAGGTTTTCTGGCTTTTTAATCTTACTCGAGAATATGGGCTTCACAGTCAGATGGACCTGAGGTTGAATCCCATGTGCCAATTTCTGACTGTGTGACTTTGGACAAGTTACTTGATCTTTCTGAACCTCACTTTCCTCATATACAAAATGAGGAGCACCCGCCCACTTGCAGGGTTCCACTGGGTGTAAGTCATCTGGCACCATGCTTAGAACATGCTCAGAGCTTAATAAACAATATGTCACTTTTGTGTTTCACCATTGACTCTCATGGCCAGACTCCTTATCAATCAAGCAAGATTGATAGTTGGGGGAGGGATGAAGCAGGGAAAGGTGGATAAGGAGATAATCTCTCCTACAATCCTTACCATGTTATATCTTGAAGTATAGTAATTTGTATATATTTCATAGCTATATTATAAACTCCTGGATGGCAAAGACTATGTCTTATTAGTTTCTTTTTAGGGATTAGTTATTGAGCACTTACTAGATACCTGGGACTGTGCTTGCCGCTAAACATGCATAATCTAGTGAAATCTTACAAGTAGATGCTTTGGTTGGTTATCCCCATTTTTTAGAAACAGAGGCACTAAGAAGTTAGGAAACTTGCCTAAAGCAAGTGGTAAGGATGGGATTCAAGTCTAAGTTATCTGATTCCAGAATTCAAGCTCTGAACCATATGACCTCTCTGACAATATTAGCTAAATGCTAGTTTGACTTCAATGCCATTTAATTTCCATATCCCTTTAGCTCCTCACCCAAAGGTAGCCAGTGTTTTTTCTGTTAGTGATGTTCACTGAATGGGCAGATGAATGGATGGTCCAAGATAATCACTCCAGCAGCTCTACATATGGTAGATCAAGGGGATACAACTGTAATCGTGATCCAGCCCTGAGGAGCTGAGGTCTATGAACGGGTTTGAACATAGTGCACAGTCTGTGTTTATGTGCATTTTTCTGGGGAGAAGGTCCCCTGCTTTCATCAAATTACCAAAGGAGTTCATGACCCCCAAAATGGGAAATGACATTAGTCATTTAAAAACCCAACATATGAACAGTTGCAGAACCATGTGATAAATTCTCTACACAGTCTAATGGTAACAGGAAAGGGAAACAAAACTTCTCAGGTGACCTGGAGTCTAAGTGCCAGGTAGGTTTCCAGAGTTTGGATAGTTGGCAATAGATAGCCAAACATGGATATTGAGTCTGGGAAGTAGCATGATTAGAAAAGTGACTTTACTCCAGGGAAATACATGAGATCAGAAGTACACTGAATTAGGGGCACCTGGGTGGCTCAGTCGGTCAAGTGTCCGACTTCGGCTCAGGTCATGATCTCGCAGTCCGTGAGTTCGAGCCCTACGTTGGGCTCTGTGCTGACAGCTCGGAGCCTGGAGTTTGCTTCAGATTCTGTGTCTCCCTCTCTCTCTGTCTCTCCCTTGCTTGCACTCTGTTTCTCTCTCTCTCTCTCAAAAATAAATAAACAATAAATTTTTTTTAATATTTAAAAAAAAGAGGTACACTGAATTGAACTGAACTGAATCGAATAGTTTCAGGCCCATGGGCCCTGCAGGTGCTATGGAGCTGGCTCACCCTGACAGGTAAGCTCTGAGCAAGCTCTGAGCCTGGCAGAGATCTCTCCTGACAACATCTCCCCTGGCCTCACCTGTTGCCTCAGCTCCTTATTCTTGCCAAAGGCGTAAGAGAGTTGGATGGGAATTTGGCCAGGCAGGGTGTGCAGAATCAGTATAATTGTTGGGGCTCACAGGAGCTTGTTGCCTTTGTTCTGTCTCTCCTAGTATCCAAACACACCTTCTGGCAAGGCTGGTGGGAACAGAGACCCCCAAAATCTGCATCCTACCCTCAGCCACTGAGCCCAGAACAGATGCTCCAGGACAGTCATGCTACCTGCACGAAGGTCTCTGAGGTGAAGTCCATGCTGCAGGAGCTCCTGGACTCCACCATGTTCAACCAGGGGGAGGTCAGAGCCATCAGGTACATGTCTGCCATGGTAGAGAACCTCAACAAGGCCTTGACCCTCCAGCACAAAGAGAACAGAAGCCTGGAGACCAAATACAGGAACCTGAAAATAGAGATGACCAAAGAACTTAGCACCCAGAGGCTATACTTCCAGAATTCCCTCCAAGTTCTCCAGAGCAAGAGGGATGCCCTGCTAAAGCAAGTGGAAATTCTAGGGGGGAAATACCATGACCTTCTCCTGATAAAGCATGCCTTAGAGTTCCAGCTAGAGAAGGCTCAGTCTGCTAGAGATCAAGCAGAAGAACCAACCAAGATCTTGGTTGACTCCCTGGGGCCCCCTGAGAAAGAGACCCTCCCAGAGAAAGAAACAGTCATGAAGGAAACTCAGCAGGAACCCAAGAAGGAGCAGTTGTTTTCACCACTCTCCCCAGGTCCCATGGCCACAGCCTGGGACAGCGGTGCCAGGCCTTCAACATCTCAGCCACTCTCCACCATGACCATGTATTCGAGGATTGCGGATGTGTACAGCACCAAGGACACCGAACATCTTCAGCCCATGATGCTGTCCTCGGTGGATCACAGGTCTCCTAAGATAAGCCCAGGCCACTACTTTCACCAAGTGAAAGACCAAAAGGATGTCCAGGAAGCATCCCAGGAGAAGGAAGGACTCCAAATTAAGCCCCACTTGAGGATACAGCTGTCCCCAGAGAGCTCCAGGAAGGTGGCCTTGGAGAGCAAGGCGGAGCACTGGGAAGAAGAGCTCCGCTGGGAGAGGCAGAGGCAGCAGTGGCTGGAGGAGGAGGAGATGTGGCTGCAGCGTCAGAAGAAGTGGGCCCTGCTGGAGCAGGAACACCGGGAGAAGCTGCAACAGTGGAAGGTGGAGGAGGCGGCGAGGGAGCAGTGGCAGAGGTCGGGCCAGCAAGAAAAGGAGCAAGGGGGCCCATGGAGGGAGCCAGAGCCTCCAGGGGAGGGCACAGACAGGGTGCTCTTCATGACCACCAGGCAGTGGAGGGACTTGGAGAAGGCATCGCTGGCACCTCCCTCAAGCCGGGCCCAGTCTGCTCACCAAGGCAGGAAGCACTTTCCCAGGTCCCCTAATACCCAGCAGCCTGCCCCCAGAAACCAGGGGAACACGAGTTCAGCCAAGTCTACGCAGAAACCGTGGACCTGCCAGGTTCCCACAAAGCCCAAGAAATCGGCCTCCTTTCCTGTCACGGGGACATCCATCCAAAAGGTGTCCCGGCCTCCTTTGCGTATCTCCTCAGTAACTCTCAAGGGGAAAGTATACCACATGGATGTGGAGGCACAGAGGAAGAATCTGCAGCTCCTGAGCGAGGAGGCTGACCTGGGGCTGCCCCACTACCTACGCACCAAGGCGCTGGATCTCACCACCACCACCATGGAGCTGAACGTGCTTCGGCTGCAGTGTCTGTGCCATAAGTACATCCGCTACAGACACTTCCAGAGCCTCCGGTAGGTACTCCCTGACACCCACGCCAACTGCAGTGCGTGGGCAGAGACAAAACCCAAAGGGAGAGGAGGAGCACGCAGCAAATGGGAATGGAGAGTCACCCCAGACCTGGACAAGGTCCCCTGAGGGAGGGGGCTGGCAAAGGATGTCTGACCTTGGGCCTGGGGTGACCCTGGAGGTGTGGGAGGTCGGGCATTTACACATACACATTGCTCTTTCCCTAGTGGGTTTTTCCTCTGAGGCCACTTCCTTATTTCTTCCTCTCTTCCTATCGCACTGTCCCTAATGCACCTGATATGTTCCCCTGCTGGCCTTATTCTCTCTTTCTGTTTCCAGCCTGGCCCCAAGGCTCCTCACCTGCCACCACCTCCCACCTCTCTGCTCCCTGCTTTCCTGACTCTCAGCAACCTCTGTTTCCCTCCTTGCTGTCAGGAATTACAAACGCAGAGTCAACGTTGGTTACGAGACTTGGGGAGCAGGCCCTTTCACCCACTAACTCCCTTACCCCATTTCCCAGACAAGAAGTGACCAACCACATACAAGTTATGCAAGAAACTGAGACTACCTACAAGACCCAGAACCTCTACATCTACCTGGAAAACATTGACCGCCTGCAGAATCTCTGGCTGCAGGCCTGGACAGACAAGCAGAAGGACCTGGAGGAGAAGCGTCGAGAGTGCCTGAGCAGCATGGTGACCATGTTCCCCAAGGTGGGCCTCCCTCATTGGGGGTCAGCACAGCTGGAAGGGATGTGAGCTGGTGGGGTGTAACTGGGGGCAGGGTAGCGGACAGGAAATAAGAGGGCAGGTTAGAGACTCTGAGCCAGGAAGAGGCAAAGGCTGGAGGCTCAAGCATAAGGAAGGGCAGCTTTCTGATTTTTTATATGGGGAGAGTGGGAGAGAGAGGGGCCCTCAAACAGAACTGTAGAAGAAAGACTCTTCTGGAGAGAGAAGGCAGCTGGATCCTGTAGTCCCAACTTTATGCTCAAGTTCTCCCTCCCCCACGGGACCCTCTGCCCTGTTCCTGTGTGTTCTGGTTCCTCTACTGACTTAGTCACAGCTGTCCTTTTTACCCACATGCTGGGATCTCACTTTGCCTCTCTCTGTGGATGGTTCCTTTGCTTTCTAGATGCCAGGTCTCCTCTGATCACTTCCTGACCAAGGTTCCTGCCAGGTAAAATCAGTGAAACCCTGGTTGTCTGAAAACATCTTTACGTAGTACCTTCACTCTTTTTTTCTTTTATGTTTATTTTTTTATTTTTGAGAGCAAGAGAGGGAGAGAGAACACGTGCACATGAGTGGGAGAGGGGTCAGAGAGAAAGGGAGACACAGAATCTGAAGCAGGCTCCAGACTCTGGGCTGTCAGCACAGAGCCTCGAACCCATGAACCACGAGATCATGACCTGAGCTGAAGTCAGATGCTTAACCAACTGAGCCACCTAGGTGCCCCTAGTACCTTCTTAATTGACAGTTGGACTGGATATGGGAGTCTAGGTTAGAATGCATTTTCCCTCTCATTTTTGACAGCACTTCTCATTGCCTTCTGGGTTTTGGTGTTGCTGTTGACAGTACAAAGTCACTCTGAGGCCTGATCTGTGGGTCTGCACTGTTTTTACTCTCTGAGGGCTAGATTCAGTTTCCCCTGCTAGCAGGGTCAGAGAAGTAGCAAGTGCTGACATGGTCCACAGAGGACTAGCTGACCTCCCAGGGAATTAGAAAATCATAGCATTGGCTCAGAACCCATGGGGAATCCCCCCCAAGTCTGGGGGAAGCCGTGTGCTGAGGGACTTAGTGTAAGTGCCTGTGTCAGGCAGTTGGAGAAGCCTTGGTCATGGGGCCATCTCCCAACTCAGTTTCCTATCACTTTGTACTAGTCCCAATCATCTCCTGTAGGTATCTTCACTTGTTAAGTTGTAGGTGTCTTGACTTGTTAACAACAGACTATATGACAATTCTTTGGGTGGCTAGAAGGATTTCCCCAGCTCCTTACCCAGTGCCAGGGCAGAGGCTGGGTACAAAAATACCCAGAGCATTCTAGGCACAATTTGGCCTCATGTTGTGAATCCTGAGTGCTCTCTCGAGTTCCAGCTGCTCTGGCTTCCTTAGTTTTTTTCTTGCTGTTTTGCTCATTGTCCAGATTCTCCACAACAAAGGAGAAAACAGGAACTAACCTAGCAAATAATAATTCAAGGAATTTTTAGGGAATTTGATACTTGGGGGTTCTAGGGCTCTCTGATTGGAGGCATTCCCTGGGCCTTACCTTCTCTTCTTAGCCCTGAGTCAGGCTATGCCTCCTTCTGCTCTAGAGAGGGAATAAATTCCTGTCTCCTTGATGCCTCTCTGCTGGTGTCCCTAGCTCCAGCTGGAGTGGAACGTTCGTCTGCACATCCCTGTAGTCACCTCCACAAAGCCGAGGAAAAACAAGCCACCCACATCCTCTCTCCGGCACACGCACTCATGTGGCCTCTCCTGCAGGCAGCCTCCTGGGCACTTTCCATGCAAGCACTGGGAATGTGAGCCCCTGTGCATGGCTCGGTAGGTGCAGGGAAGCGGGTAGGCAGCCAGCTGGATGGGTGGGGAGATGGAGCAAGCTGGGGTGGCCAGACTGGGGAGACTGGGAGCTTGGTGAAGGCATAGGCAGGCAGAGTTCACCTCGTGAGTTGTAAGATGCCTGCCTTCTCAGCTGCCTTGCTCAGTTCTAGCCATTGGCCCAGATGGGTGGGCTCAGGAGCCAGCCCGATCCAGATAGGTTTCACATTGCAACTGAAAGACTCTGAGGACCCACATCTGAGAGCCTACAACCATTTCTGCCCTGAACATTGTTGGTCCAGCACCTGCCATTAGCCTGTCCATATAAATAAGCCTGATCCTTCCCACCGTGTGACCCCACCACCCAGGCTCAGAAAGAAATACCATGAGCCTCTGGGCAGTCAAGAAGACCCACATCCTCACCTAGTATGGCCCAGTGCAGAGCAGCCCCGAGGCATGTGCCTAGAAGAACAGAGGCTATCCCAGCACCCCTTCAGCAGCTCCTCAGCCAAAGGAGCTCCAGGGAGGTGAGGCTTAGAGTTAAGGGGAAGAGAGGTGACAGGATGGTGATAACAACTATTTGAGAGGGAAAGAAAACAAGTCCTGACGTTTTGGGCCTTATGGCTTTGGAGAGCTTGTTGTTTCTCAGTCTCCCTCTGTGTGTCTAACCCTTTATCTCTTTCTACACTTTCAACCTCCACACCCCAGACAACAGGATAACCAGATAGAAGCCATCTGGAAAACTGATGTGGCCTCCTCCAGTCACCCAATAGAAAAGAAGACTCCCCCCGGCCTGCCCTGGGACCAGCTAGGGGGGTGCCCAGACATTCCCCGGCTATTGACCTTGGATGTGCATTCCTCCTACCACAAAAGCTTGAGGTCCCTCAAGGCCCGGTAAGGTACAAGGTTGGATAGTTAATCTGGATTTGGAGAAACCTTCCCACCAAGGTCAGGGGCCAGAGTACACACTGACTCTGTCCAACCACCCAAGAGATCTCTTTCCAGACATTCATAACAACCTCATTTATTGTACCACATCAGACAGAGAGATGCTTACCTGCCTCATTGGCCATCAGCTTGGGTCCCCATGCCACCATTCTGGTTTTCTCAGAGGACTTTATGTAGTGTCTCAGAAGATCGCTACACAAGTTTTTTGAGCTGCATGTGAGTTTGTTGTTTTTTGAGCTGCATGTGAGTTGCTCAGGATGTGAATCTTGTCCTAGGCCTGAAGGTTGTTCTCAAGGAGAGCCAGGTAGAGGAATGGAGAGATGAAGGAGACCAAGAATCACGTGATGAACCTGAGACTCAGGCCTGGGCCTGTGTTTGGCATTCTCATTTCTTTACTGCCTTGGAGAATAGTTCGCAGGAACAGCAGCTGAGAGGAAGAGGCAGGACTCAGTAGGCCAACAAGAGGCTATTCCAGTTAGGAAAGTTCTGTTGAAGACTTAAGGCTCTTTCAAGGAGCGTTTTTAGATTTTTGCAGCAATCCCTGCTGCCTCTTATGGCCCTGGCCCTGCCCCAATTAAAGATCTCTGACAGGGAGAGGGTACTGATGGCTGCCAGTCTAGATCTAACCAGAATTAAGGCTGTAAGATGCTGGTGCTGCCCCGTCCTCCAGACAGTGACTTAGGTGAGACAGAGTGGCATGGTAGCATCAAAGAAGGCTGGTCCTTGGCTCTGCTTCTGCTCTGAAGTGGGTCTGAGAGTCCCAGCTGGTACATAGTACCTGCTTTTCAGTTCCTGGAGAATTGCTAAGAGGTGTGTGTGCATCTGTGTGTGTGTATATGTGTGTGGTGTTGAGCTGGATAAAGCAAACAAAATTGATTGAGAGCAACCAAAACAACACTGTGGCAGAACTCAGTAACCAGAGGTCAACTGGGGCCCCGCCCCACTAAGATTTGGCTAAACTTGCCCAAGGTCCCCTACAGTAGATCTCTCGTCCCCGAGCTCCTCCTCTCTCTGCATCCCAGCTAGTGCCTGGGCTTTGCTTGGCATCTGTTTGAATCTGAGGCCCCAACCCTTTTGTTCTTCCCCACACATAATATGGGTACATAAATATCGAGAATACGCACTCCACTTAACCCCAAGCCTTTCATGATATTAGTATCTTTTTGAAAATTTAAGAGGATGTTGGGGAAAGGGATTCAGAATGAAAAGCACCAAACAACAGCGTCTTTCTTCCCCTCTCTCTCTGGTGTAACATGCAAAACTCAAAAACTCCTTCCTGTCTCATGCAGAGCTGTTCCACCCACACCCAGGCCTCCACTGGGATCTCAGCTTCAGGCTTAAGCACTTATCAAAATATTGTTCCCAACAAAGACAGCTTCCCCTTTCTAGGGGAATTTAGGTGAAT